TACAGAAGAAGTATTACCTATGGTTATTTATTTTACAATTAAAAGTAATGATTAAAGAGATTAATGGAAAAAAAAAATGTTTGCTCCCTCAGTAACTTAATATATACTGATATAAATTATGAGTAAAAAAGAGAGAAAATGGTAAAAAGCCTTTATTGAAGACAAAGGAATTACTGAATTACAACAGAGAAGGATTTTGTGAAAGCTTAAGTGTTTCTGAGGGGAATGGACAGCTGTAACGTAGACACAACCTCAAACTCAGTTACATCAAAAAGGCCACGTGCCCTTCCTCTGCATTTCACAAGCACAAGCTGCTTTGCAGTCCAGCAGAATTCACAGAACTCTGTCAGAAAACAGAGACAACCCTTCCTTGATCTGTCTCCTGCCAACTGTCCCAAAGCAGGCTACACAACACAGGGGAGTACAACCAACGTTTGGGCTACCCAGAAAGAAGCAGACAGCCGAGTTTATCCTGAGCAAAAACCTCTGCAGCTACCGTAGGAACTCATTTAAGTGCACAATGCAAACAACTGCTTAACATACGGAATTTGTTCGTTTTCGTTTCCAACAGTCGGGATTTAAACGCTTCTGTTCTTCCGCCAAGGCCTTGGCTTCCAGTGTGTACATCCGCCTCTCCTCGTTTTTCATTTTCTTCCACCTGTCACCAAGTATCACACTTATGGCTCTGCAAGATAAATGTTTATAGTACAGTCAGGACAGGGTGTTAAGAAATAGCCTCATTTTTTTCTATCCCGGCACTTAGAGAAGACAAAAGTTAAATGTACAAATAATACAGAAGAAAAAACTGTATCTTTTTTTAATATTCACATTTCTGACTATCTTTCTGTACTTCTTTCAACAGTTGAACAGCTGAGGCTTCCATGTATGCTGAGCACAGGTCAATGCACATTCTAACATTCCAAAGGTTGTACATTTGAATACACAGCAACATCATAAACCAGCAAAAATAAAAACACCACCAAATGGTAACTCAAATTTGTTTTTGTCTACTTCTGTGCTAGAAGATCATATGACAGATTTGCTGAAAATATGTTCTCTAATAATTAGGGCAGTGATCTGAACATGACCTCAGCTAAACAAATACTTTATAAACTGCAATCATGTCTATTTGAGAGATGTGTTTAGCTTCCTCCACGTTTAATCCATACGGGGTAGAACACGAGTGGGCAGAACACACTGGTAAATTCCTGTTTCTATGCAAAAGAAACCATTTGTTCTAACACACCCATCATCATCTCCAGAAGCTGAATTAATTGCTTTTTCCTACTCTTTATAAACATGATGCCTTTTGGACAGTATTTCCCCACATTATCATGCCATATTGCTTAACTGCACTCCCAAGTGTTACATCAATATTCCACTGAAGCTTTAACCCCATCCTTTAGCTGAGTGAGACTCTCGAAACAACAGCTCTCCTGTCAGTGACAATTCCTGCACTATGAGGAGATGTGCTTTGCCTTCAGACTGCAGCCATGAAAGGTCAGTGACCAATCACCTCTAAGAAAAACAACCATGTATGTACAACCAAGCACTTTGCTTTATGGTATTATAAAGTTCCTTGCTGGCAGCAAAGCTATTCAGACTGCTTAAGAGAATCCAGAAGAGACAGGTCTCATCAACCATTTCCTCAGCATTTCACATACAGCAATTCTGATGGCGTTTCTATGCGATACCAAGGCACTGGATTTTAATCCTGCAAGACCATGTAGAACCATCCAGGCTTGCATGAGCTGCAGAGCACTCGGCACAGAAAGAACTCCACTGGGGCTGCCATTAAGCCTGTGCTGTCATGCTCTGGTGACTCCTCAGAGCAAACTCAAGTTGCAACCAGATCCCATCAACATCAAAGCCATTTTCATAGCCTGTCTCTTTAGCAATGGAATTTCTAATTTTATATTCAAATTAAGAACCAGTATCTTTGATCTGTCATCAGAAGTAAATACACACCAGTTTAATTAACCATTTTTTCATGTTTTTTTGGCAGTATCGAGAGGCAAATCAACAGCACCAGAAACCTGCCTGGTTTTGGTCACCAGGTGGTACTGGGTCACTCACACCCCCAGGAGGGAACATGGTGACCCGGAGAGCAGGTTTGCTGAGAAAGCCATTGCATTTATAAATAAAAATGTACTGTGACATCTTCAAATGCAAAAATACGTATGTATTTTAATATCTCAAGAGACAATACTGCACTGAGGCACTGAAAGTGAGTACAGATCTGTGTTTTAAAAAGCATGAAAAATCTAATGCAGAGAAATACTCCATTTATCCATGGAAATACTTCTACGAGCAAATCACTGAGACTGAAAAAAGATAAGTGTCCTGACTTAACTGAAACCTAATTATCTTGACTAGATGAAACAAGAAAAAACTGACCCTACAGCATCACTGCTTTTTGGCAGTGCTGCATACACTGCCTCTGTCCTCAGAACGCTGGTAGGATGCCTGACAACATTTTAGTGACAGGCTAATGTGCAGGATGCAATACCTTATACTGCAGCTGATTCAGAAGAAATTGTCAAACAGTAGTTAAGAACACCTCAGGTTTACTCAGAAATTATGTTCAGCATGAACTAACACTGTTAATGGTTTAGGTGACTTCATCTTTAGAACAGACACTACTCCAATTATTCAAGTGTTTCTGAATGCCCAATCAAGTCCAACTCTGGTTACAGTGAGAGCATCCAGAAAATAAACAAGTGCTATCCTAACACCAATTTCTCAAGTATAGTCTTACAGTCTACAGTGCTTTTCAGTATCATGTGAATGTTGACTTGTGTCTTCAATGTTTACAGCTCACTATCTTGTTGATCTGGCGTGAGCTATCTGGTCTCAGAATAGAGCAGTTAACTCAGTACATCTCAAGTTCTGTCCTTTCAAACATGTGTAAGAAAAATAAAGTAACTGTAGCAAACAGAAAAACTCCAGTGTACAGAAATGGGTACTATGTGTAACCAGCCCTAAGAGCTATTCTGGTAATCTGAAAATGACACATACTTGCATTCAAAACAAGAGTTGCCTCTGAACAGCTGAATTAATAAATGCCCCAGCAACAGTTAAGCAATAGTAGCTGAACGCCTATAAAATCAATCACCACTACCTCTTATGCTTTCTTCTGCACTATATTCTGCACATATTTTATGGAGGTCAAGAAACAGCATCCAAACGCATCGCCTTCCTAATGGGACAGTAAACAGTGCACTCTGAAGCTTATTTGTAACTTTGTCATCATTTTTCTTCAAGGTAAACCTATTTACTGAAATATTCAACTTACTTTCACACCCAACCAGCTGCAGCTCCAGTTCACTGTATCAATTTAAAATCAGCATTTTAAACATATAACCATCATAAACTTTCCTAGCTGACATTCTGCTTGCTTTCTCACTGATGCAACTGAATTTGTAGGTAGCAGATCTGTTTCACTGAAATTACTATAAACATTGCAGAACATGATTGCCAGGACACACAAGGCTGGCTGGGATTTAAGGATGAGTTATGGTTTCTCAGCACCAGTTACAGCCTCCTTACTAGAACATTATGAAATATCCAAATCCCTCAAAGGTCTGTCATCTTTAGTTTCTACCAGATTTAGTACTAGGATTTTTCTGTGATAGCACAACTCCTAACAGTGACAGTTTTCATAATGTTAGATTCCTACAAAATGCGATTCTCTAAGATCTGTGCACATTCATGTGGTTTATAGTTACATGTGCACTAAATATTATTTAAAGCATAAATGTAACAGGTATCTTTATAAAACAATGTTTAGACATGAAAGTGCATACAGATAAAAAAAACAACACAAAACCCTTCTCCAAGCACAGTCATGTGACCCTTCCTGCAAGTTTCAGTAGATTGTTCAATGCCTTCAGGGTAAGCAAGTCCTGTTTGGATTAAGATCTTTCAGATACTCTTAACAATCAGAACCCTGTTATTTAATATGATACACAGACTCAGAATACAGAGAGTAAATTCACTGAACACTATGCAATATTATGTCAATTAATTAGAAGAACCAGAAATTTCCTTTTTCCATTACAACACATGAGCAAAGTGCCTGGTACTTCTTCCCCATGAACATTCCCATCAATATAAACAAAGACTGTTGTGCATTTGTGACTCTGCTGTGCACATATATACATATGTCAGTTGCTTTACCCAAATGCTTTTGCAGAAGGTAGGTTTGCAAAAAATGGCTTGTGTCTTATTTACAGAGTAGTGTAAATATTTAGTCTGCCCATAAATTAAGCTTTGCATCAGCATCTTTCATAAACTTGTTCTTAAAACAATGCACACACATTTTATTTCAAATGCAAAATTTGGTCCACTTAAATTTAAAGGTGGGGCACAGATACTCTGCTAGCTCACCAGTAATTATAAAATGACAATATTCCACCATTACCTGTTGTCTTTCCCTGGATACATCTGAGTATATTCAACTCTGTATTTTTTGGCAAAAAGCATGAAGGCATTCATTGGTCTTTTGCACTTGTTTGGAGAAGTGGCACTCACAGTACTTGCAGTCCCTGAGCTGTGGCTCTTGCCAGCTTTGCTGTACAAAGAACTGGAGGAAAGTTGGGATGATGCAGTAGACACACAGTTTTTACTACTGCTTTCTGATCTCTCAGCATCTTGATTGTTTGATCCTCCACCAGAGAGAGAGGCGCGGCGCTGGCGAGCCATGCTGCTTAGCACATAAACTGCAGAGGAATCCATGGGTGTAAAATCGTAACTGCAAGAAAAAGACATATCATAAAATGAGCAAGTAATTTCCACGTAAAATCCTTAAATAGCTGTTCACTCTTCATCTGCACTACAGTTCTAGTATTCTGGTCTCTTTTGAACTGTGCTTAATGCAGAAGTCAGTGGGAAAACACGAGAATTTTGGCAGATGAATTTGTATTATTTTTCTATGTGATGGTGGACTGCAAAGTTGCAGGATCTGCTGTGCACTATCAACTCCCCAGCTGTATATAAATCAATTATATACTGTCTTCAAATTTCATCCTCTTTTGAAATAAGCTTCTTTCTGCTTCTGTCCTTAGCACATATAAATCTGGTGAGTGAATGATAGGTACTGAAAGGGACAACTGATGTTGGAAGAGTAAGTGTTTGGTTCACTTGCAAATACATACTAATTACAAATATAAGCCAACTAATTTAAAATTAATTCTATTAAATATGCTACTGTATAAATAACTTCTCCAGGCAGTTAAATACCTATTATTTTACAGACAAAAAAACTGTTCCAAGACCCATGACGTTGCATACTATTGATTCACAGCTGACAAACGTCTGCCCTCTTGTGACAAAAATGTGGGATACCTCCGCATGGCAAGGTATTTTAACAGTTTAGATGAGCTGTCTCCGTAAAATGTAGACCTCCAAATGCTGAAAACTGTTGTAATGCTTCAGTGACCGACAATTACAATTAACCTCTAATCACCTCAAAAGAAGTTCAACCCCACAGACTACTTATCATCTCTAGGTGTGTGAAGATCAGTCTGAGAACCACGGGCTATGCTGTCTTTAGAACACTCCAGGGGCAGAAAACACTTGTGAAGATGCTAAAACTCCATCCAAAACACTAAGTTACCACCACAAAATAAACAGAAGATGTATGTAACACTGAGACTCAGCTCACCCACTGATCAATGTGGCTACAGTTACAACATATGGCAAAATAAAAGCTCTGAAGAGATCTTTTTCTGAACACAAAGTAGGACTACTAGTGGTAAGGAAACACCGGCACTGGCAGCCCAGCCCCCACCTGCAAAGGCAGCCCTTTTTTTTCTGTGGGTGGAACCCAAACTAAGGACAGAACCTGTCTCCAAAGGCTGTCTGCAAAATCCCTTAGAAAAGTCAAAAGCAACAAAGAAGGGATAATACTGACAAACTTGCAGGCAAGCACACAAGATAAAGGACCTGTCTGTTCTACAAACAATCCAGCACCCTCTCTATTCCTAATCTCTCTCCCATAACATAGCTACAGGATTTTGTTTTTTAATTCTTCTGTCCTGTTTACCACAGCTGCTGCTGAATGCTCCTTTCTCAGTGACTTACTCCCTTGTGCCCAGAGAGACAAGAAATTTAAAGTGTGCAGGCAGTACTGAGCTGGGCTGCAGGATGAATAAGGAGCCATAAGTAAGATGTAAATATAATTATTCTAATAGCTCTCTACATATGTAGTTCAGAATAAGGTTTAATAAAAAGAAAACCCAGACAGCAAATGAGTGAGGACAACCAATTTTAACTCACTGTCCCAGACTGAAATAACAGAAGAGCTCCTGAGGCTTGAACTGCAAAGAGCATTTTAAATTTATTTTTTCTCTTGTAAAAAAAACAAAAAGGAACTGGACTAAGATGCTAAAAAGGAGATACCACCATAGGAGAAGATGAATTCTACTAAACACAGAAATGTCAAAGTAGTATGGAAAACCTTCGAGTAATACTACTTCCTTATGATCTCAGAGTATTTTATGTTGGATATGACCTCTGAAGGTTACCTGGTTGATCCTCTTGCTCAAGAGCAAGGCAAGCCTCAAAGTTAATCAAACTTTGAAGTTAGGCAAGTTTGATGTATTAGAACAGAATCACAAAACGCAGAAAATAAAAAAAATAACTATGGAAGCACTGTGATCTAAAGCCATAGCACATGCATTAATTACAAAGAAACTACTCAGATAATTCAGATACACAGCTGCATATGAAGCACAAGTCAATAGCTAGCAGACAAACTATTATGGGAAAACTGTACTAAGTTTCTCAAGCATAATCCACTTTACCTGAGGAATTTATACAGATATGTACTTTTTTACTGCTTTACCTAATCTGGCTTAAAATATCACAAACAGGGGCTGGAAAGTTCTAGCACTCCAAGATACTACTTTGCAGCTTAGCAGAGCACATAATTCCAAAGCTTTCCTAGTATCCAGTCTTCATTTTTCCCTCTCATTTATATAGTATTACCAAAAGTATTCTCTCTTTGCTCTACATAACGCTTCAAATTCTTGTAGACTTAAGGTGCCTACTCATTAAATACAAAAACCACTGAGGCCACTTTATCCAAAAGTTACCTTTTAAATGTATCAAAAACACCTGAATCATCAAAGTTAATGGCATCAGGGTGTCCAGGAGGTAGACACAGATCTCCAAGATGCATTTCACAGCATGGAATGCCATGCTGTACCACAGTCAAGCTTGGATAAAAAGATGACCAACCTGAAGTGGTAAAGAGTTTAATTAGACAAACGGCCAGACAATCTCTCTAGTTCTTACCTGGAGCAACCCCTACACAATATCATTTCATAAAAATGTTCAGATGTTTCTGTTTCCCAAAAGGAATATCAGAAACACTTACTCAGGGAATTCTTACTGGAAATAGTTTACTTTTATCTCAAGTAAAATCTCGTTCTAACAAAAAAAGTAAAGAAAATGGAAACTTTTATCAACAGAGGTTCCATGTTTAGCAAGTGAGGAAAGTCTCTCTTATCTGCAGCTTTCCTTTCTCCCCCCAGTTGTTCTGTTTTCCTGAGCTCCATTTATATACTTGATTGAATCTTTCTTTATGAGACAAATAGAATTTCTGTATTTTTACAATTTTGTTTGTGCAAATTCTGGATTTCTTTACAAAGGTAGTAAATTTTAGCACCAATTTTATCTGTTTCTTGAGCAACATGGGCCACCAATAAAATCTGCAACCACTTTCTAACAATATTTAATATACATCCAAGCATACTTTTAGTATTTCATACCTTTATTTTTAACATAAAAAGGATGATCGAGTCTGCATTCTACTGTAAGCAAGCCATCTTCCACTGTGCCAGGATCAAAAGTCAACTTCAGCACTGACTCACCAAAGGAAACGCTTTCTTCATGAGAAATCAACTTCAAACCATCAGAACCATAGCCCTGTAAATATATGTACAGTTCCAAATCTTTCCCCCAAGAGAAGCATATATCTCTGTATCCTATGGCTGTATATTAATTGTCGTAGGTTGTATTAAAAAAATATCAACATTCTAAGCGCTCTCACTAGCAAGTAATAAAGACTGTGTAACATTCAAAACATACTTAGATTATTTCTGTTCAATTGCTTTATAGCAAGATGCTAAAATAGTACAGTGATCAGCTCTAGACAAGTATAAATCTGCCCTCCTGAGACATTAAATAAAGACACAGGGGTAACATATGAAAAAAAGCCTTTGCTATAGGTATTGAAATGAATTTATGAGAACTAACAGCTACCTTGTAAGGGCTCACTGAGAGATTCTCCTCTTTTCCACAGCTTTCAGATCTTGCAAAATCTTCAACATCCTGCCATTCTTTATTGTGCCCTTTGTGAAAGCACAAACGAGAGCCTACCAGATTTTTTCCAGTAAAAAAAAAAAAAAAAAGGAAAACGTTAATGTTATGTAAAAAAGTCTATGTTAGAAAAAAAGACAAAACAAAAACTTATTCCATGATATATGTTATTTTACCTTTTAGAAAACAATGCCAAATGGTTGAGGGCCAGGAATGGCACCATCCTAAATCATCATCATCTGAAAGCGATGACATGCAGAAAATGCCAGATTCGGATTCACTATTTGCCTATTAAAAAAAAACAAAACAAAATGGTGTTGATATCTTAGTGAGGAAAATGTTAGGGCTGCTCACAATGTCTTTAGACACATTCTCCTATTTGCATCTGTGACATCATTTTGCCTTAAATACTAACAGGAATTTAACATGAAGACAAAGATTAAAGGAATGCAGTAGTTGTCCATAGAGTATTTTAATTTCCTTTGCTTAAATCGTGCCATCCTGGAATTTTTGGGTTTCATTCTCTGAGATTTATTTGTGCACCTATGGATTATCTTATGCTTAGGTACAAGCATTTTACAAGCTAACATTTCTTGGTTACCTACAGCACCACTCAAAGCCGATGTTCCTCTATGGTCAAACTAATGGAAAGGCACAGAACCAAGTAGGTTCTAGATAAATTGTTGGGAAAAATTCCATGTCTTTGACAGACAAGCTTCAGGCACAAATTCATACACTGGAAAGGGAGAAGCAGGACTGACAGGTTTTGTGCCTCTAAGAAGAGATAGTTCTGCACTTCCTTTTTGTGTCAGCAAACAAGCTAATAATATTTTAAAGCTTGGTCTAGAATGAACTACAAGAGAAGCAGAGCTTTCATAGAATATTTCTTCAGAATAACATGGACTCTGTGATGCAGCACTACAAGCTTATTGTGTTTTGTAAAACAAAAAGTAATAGAAAATCTACCCCAAATTGAAATAATAGAACCAAACAGTTTTAACTTTTAAAACTAGTTACTCTTTCCAAAAAGCTTACCCAATTACTCATGCTCCTTTATTTATTTTTAAAATGTTTCAGAACAACTCACCCTTTCATGTCTGACTGGTGTTTCATCCAAATCATTCTTGGAGAAGTTAGGATCATTCTTTGAGGATCCTGGTGGAGGACGTGCATAGGAATGTAAACTTTTGCTTGTAGCTATTATGTGAACAGGAGATGATCTACAACAGAAAAACCTTCTTTAAAATATGTTGGGTTAAAAAAACACAAGACCTAAGCTGCTATTACTCTAAAATGCTTTTATTTAACAAATATTTCTGTTTTCATGAACTGAATACCAAATTAACTTCCCACACAGGACTATTCAAATAGGATGATTAAAGGGTGCAAGCTCAAGCAAAGGGAGTATTTAGCATAACTCCTGCATAGCTTCTATATACCACCCAAATGACAGGACTACCTCCACATCAGGATCTCCTTCTCACAATGCTTAGGTTTTTACAAATATATTTAAGGGACTATCCAATTTCTAAGAGTACCTTGCTGTTGTAAGGATTAAATCCCAACTGCAATACTCTTAACAGTAGGGCATTTAATTTCCTTATTATAAATCTAAGACCCAAGCCATACAATAAAAGGTGAAGCCCAGAAATTTCTAAAATCCCACATTGCTTTACACAGCCTTATGGAATTTACAGATCATATACCTGAAACAGTATCAATAAAAAAATACATTGCATTAGATTTCCAATTAGCTCTCTAACAAAAATATCTAAAGTCAGTGCACTAGGAAGTATTAAAAGTTTAAAGTAACAATTTTAATTTTTCATCTGCTGCTTCACATGAGGTAAATGCTCATTGATAAGCTTCTGTGGTTAGGCAATGTCCTTATGCCATGCTACCTCACTCATGGCTGCCAATTAAGCAGCTTTTGAAACAGGCTCTGAAATGAGGCCTGTGCGATCTTCTGTAGAAGAATAAAGTTACTATCTAGAAAGATAAAAAATAGGGCTCCAGTTCAAAGTCAGAGAGTGTGAAGAGTAAAAGAGAGGAACATAATATTATAAATCTTAAAAGTTCAATATTGAAATTAACATCAGCACCTGTTATAAAAAGAGCACTGCATCAAAGGACTCTGAGGGCTCGTGGCTATATTTGCTAGTTCTGTCAACCAGTTCACCCCATTCTCACAAGAATAAGCACTTTCTGAATTGCTGATTGAGGTATGTTGGTTCCATGAAGGCCTTGAACATTCCTGATGTGAAACATCGGCACCAAGCTGAAACAGTGCAGGTGGGGTAGAATCCGTCTGCACAGCCTGGAGTTCAGGAAGATCATCTACAAACAAATACACAAATTACCACAATTATACCCATTGATAAATTCCAGCTGACACCAAAACCTGCAAATAAAAAAATCAAAGAGGAACGACAATGAAGTAGCTGATTTTACTTTCTCGTATCACAATTGCCAACATTGCACAAATCCCATTCATAATACTGACAAAAAGACTAATCATCATTATTTCTGCGGCAAGTTGTACATTCAAACAAGCAATTTAAGAAAAACATTAAGTAACTAGAAATGTATTTCTGGTCTAAAGCTTTTACTACACTGACTAGTTCACACCGAATTGTACCGCCAAATTATGCAAAAGTAGCAACATCTGTCATTAAAACACTGAAACATTCTACAAAAGGTCACTAAATTAATTTGTGCTAGCAAGTGTGACGCTAAAAAAATAGCAACATCACAAGCTGTACAAGGTAAAAGCAGGAAAGTGGAATTAAGTAATTGGGAAGTCCTGAAAGCTGGGTATACAGCCTGGTAGAGTGAATTCCTATCAATAATCTACACATCTCACGTGTTACACAGAACAGCAAAAGAGCCCAGCTTGTTAACAAAAGTCTGTTACAGGCTCTCATGTAACTAAGTATTCTTAATCACTCCATTACTTCAACTAAATGCGTTAATATTTCATTGATTATATCAATACTTTCTAATATACATGCTATTTTTCTCCACTACATAACAATTTAGATTCAATGTTTCTCTAGCCCAGAGATGTTTCTCTATTTGTAGCTGATCTAAAGCAGCAAAATTTCCCTGTAGGAGGGGCTCTTCAGCTTTCCATGTTGTTCTGCCAAAAAAAAAAGCTCCTCTGGAGACTAGGAGCAGAAATTTGTAGCTCTGAGTTTAAGAAGACATTTAAGTCAACAGGCCAGTGTGTCAGAGCTGGAAATAGGTCACCAGGAAATATGACTGCAAAATAAGGCTTTAGGATGTCACAGTTCAGTGTCTTATTCCCTGCCCTACTCAAGTTAAAACTCAGTAATGTCATTCAGTCAGCTTCCAGTAATGCCACTACAGAAAAACTACAACAAACTTCAGAATTTGGCTTCTCCTGAAAAAGGCAAGTCATGTTACTTACCAAGTTCCATGTGTTCATCACCAGATGCATATCCAGGAGAAGAAGGAAGGTTTTCATCACACTTCAGCAACTCCAGTGACTCATTCATCCCTGAAGTTCTCTTGTCCACTACCAGAAGGAGTTTCTGAACTGCATTAGGCATTTGATTTGTCTTCACTTCCCACACCATGTTAGGATGCTCCAAAGTATCTGACTTTAGAAAGACAAAAGTTAAAAATCTGTATACATATAAACAGTTTTAAATTGCATCTGACAGGCCACTCAATTACCAGAAGACTTAAATCATGCATTATCTGTTGAGAATCACAGTGTAAGTTAGCTTGAAAGAGACCACCAGAGATGATCTGCAATACTCCCCACAAAAAGCAGAGCCAATTCTGAAGTGAGATGAGGCTGCTTGGGACCCTGGCCTCTTGAGTTTCTAAGTTTCTTGAAGGATGACTCCCAGACACTTCTCAGGAACCCATTCCAGTGACCACTCCTGCTGTAGTGCAGCTGTTCCTTACGCACAGTTTGAACTCCCCTTACCACAGCCTGTGCCGACTGTCTCCAAGAGGCTCAGGTCATCTCCTCAACTACCACTCAAGGTAAACAACATTCACTTGGTACCCATTCACGGAAGGCAATCAGGTGGCTCAGACATGACTTGCCTTTGGTTAATCCATTCTGGCTATTCCCAGTCACATTCTTGCCTTTTAAGGGCCAAGACATGACTTTCAGAAGGATCTGCTCCTCAATCTTTCTCAAGGCTGAAGTTAGATTTCCCCACATCCTCCTTTAAAGCATACATGACATTTTCTTGTTAGCACTTACTGGGAACCCTTCCACCACCAAATCCACCACCTTTTGGAGACCATCCTCATGATGACACTGGCCAGCTCCTGCTGATGCATCCTACCCAGCCTCACCTACTTGGGAGTGCCCAGCTCACAGAACTAACTTGCCCCTAACTTGCTCCTCCTCCACCACAGTCAAAGTACCTCACTCCATGAGATGTGTCTTGCTAGGCTGAGGAACTGGAGGAATCTATAAACTGCCTTCGCAAACAACAATCAAAGCAAAGATGTCATCCTCAACCCGTTGACATTAGCTCTCTCCTATGTCATGTAGCATCAGGCCCATGTTTTCCCTAGTTGCTCCTTCACCACTGGCACATCCACAGAAGCCTTTTTCACTGTCCTTCATATTCCTTGCTATCCCAACTCATAGATATAGTCTCAAACACATTTGACTGAGAACTGTGCCATTACTCTACACAACCACTGCCTCAAAAAGCTGGAAAAGAAGGTTATCCAGTCTTTAGTAATTTGGTTACCTACTGGCTTTTTTTCAGATAATGATGAATTAAAGCTACCATAACATTTTGTACTGTAATGAAGTATCATTAGAAAAGTAATCTTGAGACCCTCACAAAAGAAAAAAAAAAAGCTTAATAAGAAAGAAAATTTTAAAGTCTACCACATGCACATCCACTACGCTATCATGCACCACAGTGGAGAAATACAAACAATAGCTAAAAAGAGTCTCATGTTTTTATGCAAAACAGTAAGCTTATCATTCTAAAAGTTCCCTTAGTGTTAACACATAAAGAGGCATCTGGTAACAACTATGAAAACCCTGCTATCTTCTAAAAGCAGTTAAACAGTTAAAAGGTATTGCATGTATAGAGCTAACATGAGCTATATTCTATGTTCTACTCAGTCCATGTATTTGCTCCATTCATTTTGCAGCCTGCCCTGTACATAATATAGTTGAGACACAACTCTGAATTACATACTGGTCCTACCAGAAGTGCCCCGACCTAAGCAAAACTTAAATTCCAAACATAAGAAGGTGTTTGATTCTACTCATATGGCACTACTGGAAAAGCCACAACAGTGAAATTCTAATTTTAAAGAGGTGGAGAGGGAAGGTAAGGGAAATGTGAATGTACACTCAAAGAAGCTAACAATGGTATGTGTATTTCACCTCCAAGAAGCACCTTTAATGCAAATTATTCCTCTGTCACCCACGAGGAACAGTAAAATCACAGAACACCACAAGAGCAGAAAGCTCAGTCATTTCTGAAGAGAAAAGGACTTTGCTGATTACCTCCAAGTAATCAACTCTGAAAAGCCCCTCCTTGTTTTTCTGGCTTGTCTCCATCCTTCCTTTCCCCTCTTCTGCCTTGCTTTCTCTCTTCCTTTCCCATTTTACTGCCACAATGAAGAAGCTAACTTATTTTGCAAATATTACCTCCTCCTTCCTTCCTGCCAGCTGCAAAGATAAGAAAGTACCTGTCCTGATGTCCCAACACACTGAAGGTCAGAGATAAGGTACAGATACAACACACTATTCTGACAAGCAAGATACTTGTTTCTCCCAAATCACAAGAATTTCTCCAAAGCCACCCGTGTACAAAAGCCAAAAGATCCTCTAACAAATTAATTAAAAATACAAACAAAGTGTCCAACTTTATTTTTTAATTTATTTTTTTTTGTCTACTTGATAAAGCCTGCTTTGGACATCATGTGCTTCTCTTCTCCTCAGCCTTTCCATGTTTTAGAACATTAAGGGGAACGGTCATTAATTAGTTCATAAAGGTTTTGGTTTGTTGTTTTGTTTTTTTTAAAATTCATTTTTAAAACTTGCTGCAACATGTTTTCTAGAAGTATGCTTCACAGGACTGTCATTACTGCCTCTTTCTTTACAGGCTAAGTGAACTGATACTTTAAAATAATCTGTCATGCTAAAATAAATGGCAATATTAACAACGAGCTTACTAATGAAACCGTGTCTATTTCTGAGGGACAAAAATAAATAAAGACTTGGT